CTGAAAGTTGGCCTGTATGTCCTTCTTCACCCTGCCCCTAAGTATCTGATGCCGTAACCTGCACAACGCAGCATATACACATAAAGCATTTCCTTCTGTATATACAGGGAGTGATTTACAAAATGCGAATCCTTTCAATTACCTCTGTGCTTAAAAGGCCGTGGACACGGAACCTTTTATTCACTCTATCTTGCTATATAAAATAAAGACTATGTGCTTGAACCATTTCACTGAGCTTGACAAACACAATTCAGTATATAACATCTTCATTTGCTTTACACAAAGGGGCCAACTCTTCGACACCATAGATACTTTGCAATTGTTTCATTAGATTAAAATTGTCCTATTATATATGATGTGGCACATATGCTAAATAAACCAAGAACAGAAAATGTGGTTAAAAATACCTAAAGGAAATATTTGTTGGCATTCATAAATTTTAAAAAGGAAGTATTCAAAATCAAATGTGCAGGTACAGTGTGGCTAATTATTTGTATTTCTTTCTGTTACAGTGTACCGTTTAAGTAAAACAATATGTGAAAATGTTGGGAGCATTTCTCAAATTGCAACATGCCATTTGTGTTTAAATGTAAACATACAGGTTTTCATTCAGTGGGTCAGTCCAGGGGCAAAGCTATACATTCTACAAAACTTCAAGGTATTAAAAATATTGTAAACTATACTTTGCAAACAAAGGATCTGAATTTTTTCTTTACCTGTTGGTTTGTTATATTGTGTTTTATTTTCCATTTTCTCTCTTATTTGCAATAGCCAAACTGATATAGCCCTCATTACCTACCATAACCATAAGTATTTAATCCTTACAAAAATCCTCCGAGAAAGTTAGCATTTCTATTACTAACATTTCACATACAAAAACTGAAGCACAGGTTTGGTAACGATCAGACACTGAAGCCAGCATTTGAAGCCAGATAATTGCATTTTCTAAACCACCCCCCGCCTCCAATTCTTTATAATGGTGGTGCATTTAATGAGACATGCCAAAAGACTTGCAACAAGGTGGAGTATATCAATACATAAACTTAAACTGAATGACAGAAATAAGAAATAGAAATATGCATACTCATTTCAGACTTCCAAATCAGTATTCTGATAATCAAAATGATACAAGGAGTTGGTAGGAGGATTACTTACTAAGCTACTCGAACGAATTCTATACTTCTTGAAAGATGATTTTTTTGAATCATATACTTCTATTTGAAAATTCCAAGACATGATACAAATATGGGCAAAGAATGAAATAAATTGTGTGTGTCTGTATGTATAAGAACTCACACACGTCCTAAATAATTTAGACTTAAAATATAATACTGCAAGCTTTAGTGATGGTTATGGAAAAGATATGTGAATTTTAAATGTGTAGTTAAAAATTCAAATGTCTTGAAATTGCTTTTTCATTTTGCGTAATCACACATAGTTTTCCTTGAGCAGAATTATCTCTGTATATTAATCATTGCTCTTTTACTTTTAATATGCATTTCTCTTGTATTTTATTTTATTTCTGTATTTCTACTATTTTTAAGCAAACTTCTTGGTTCTCTACGCCTTTTAACAGTATTTGCTGTACGGCGGTAGGAAATAGGCAATTTGTCTGTTTCTCTTTTATGGTAAAATGTCAAATAACCCCACTGAATGATATGGAATATTCACTACGAACTACAACATTTTAGAACACTGAGTCTATAAACTAACTTCAAGATTTAACTCGTAATAATTAACAACACATAACTAAGAGCTACACATGCTTACACTGATATTATACGTATGTCCACCTTTCAATCCTTCCAACACTGCAATGACAGACGTGTCCGTTTTCTGGATAATACTGAGGTTGCGGATCTGAAAAGCAGTAGGATCATCGTCTCGATAAACCAAAGCTTGATATACTTGGATGTTTCCATTAGGTTGAGAAGGAGGAAGAAATGTTAACTGGAATTTTGTAACTTCATCTGGAATTTTCTGAAATGTCACGTTGTTAGGTGGATCCTTGGGGGCTAAAATGAAATAATTGAACAATTTTTTAAATTGTGTTCTTTTGATCTCCACAGAAAATTTATGTGCCCCCAATTTCTGTTTTTAAACAGTATTACACAAATTATTTAAACCATGTAATTTATGGCCGATGTGTCATGCGATCACAGGCATCTATAATTCTCAGAAAACATAATGGCGATATAGTTTGTTTCCTTTCTTATTTTAACTTTGATATGCCTTTATTTTTATACAGAATGTATTACTATAGTTTTTAAAAATTTATTTTAAAATAATATAGATTCACAGGGAGTTGTTAAGAATAGTACACAGGGTTGACTGCACCCTAGGTACACATCTCCCCAGTCATGGAATCTTCTATGACTGGAGTTTAATATCAAACCTGGAAATTGAGCTGGGTACAGTGCTGATAACTGGACTACAGACCTTATTCCAACATCAGCACATTTCATGCTTTCTCATACACGTCTGGAGGTTTATGCCATTTTATGCGATATATAGATTCCGGTAACCACAACCACAAACAAGACGGAAAAAATTATATCACCCTAAAGAAAATCTCTCCTACTATCCCCTTGTCTTTTCACTACACGCCTCCTCGGTACACTAATCGTGCTCCCCGTCTCTGTAGGGTTTTCATTCTGAGAATGACAACACCCTGATGACCTTGAGGTCCATCAGCGTTGCTCCCCGTATCACTAGTTCATTCTTTTCATTGCTGAGTAATATTCCACTTTATGAATGTACCACAGTTTGTTCAATCATGGAAAGACATTTGGGTTGTTTCCAGTTTTTGATACCAATAATAAAACTCTTTGCTAACATTCACGCACAGATGTTTGTGTGAATATGTTTTTGATTTCATTTGATCAATGCCCCAAAGTATGATTGCTGGGTCACATAGCAAATACATGTTTAGTTTTACAAGAAACTGTCAAGCTATTTTCCGGTGTGGCTACACTGTTTTACATTCCCACTGGGAATGTACAAAGGTACAGTCTTTTTGAATCTTGCTGGTATTTTGTGTTATTGCTATTTTAAAAGTTATTATTATATCTGTTCTGGTATAAGTGTGGTAATATCCCATTGTGCTTTTTTTGTTGTTGTTCTTTGCAGTTTTCTGTCGGGGCTGGGTTTGAACCCGCCACCTCCGGCATATGGGGCTGGCACCCTACTCCTTTGAGCCACAGGCGCCACCCCATACCATTGAGCTTTTAATGGGCATTTCCCTAATGCCTGGCGGTGGTGAGACCCCATCTTCCTGTGTGTTTGTTTGCCACTTCTCTGTGCTGAAATGTCTATTCAAGTCTTCTACTAATTTTGGAACTATATTTTTTAAAGTGCCTATGGTGCATATTGCAAGGGTACATGTCGGATCTATTAGTATAGAGTATAAATATTTTAACACAATAATTAAGTAAATGAGATAAGGTATATATTAACCAGTGTGTTGTAAACGTTCCTTATAGCATATGAAATCAGCACGTTGTACCCCATAAATGCATTAATGTATACATGATCTATGAGTTTATGATTCAATAAAAAATTTAAAAAAATAAATAAAGTGCTAAGTTTTGAGTAATATTTCAGTTTGTTTTCAACAAATAAAAACAGCTTAACATGACAAGTCTAGCATCCATAAATTATTGTCAAATAAAATTATGAGATTAAAATTATTTTATGAAGAAAGGAGCTAGATCTTGCTGTACAGCATAACTAGTGTCCTTCATATAAATGACAGATTGAATGAATACATCTATTTTGATCAAGTTGAAATGGCTGTATTCTTCCGTGCTAAGCAAAACAATTCCATGAAGAAAGTTAATGTTTGACTCAGTATTTCAGATCTTCAACCTCTGTTAATCTTAAAAAAAAAAAAAAAGTAAACAGAGAAAAAAAGGGAGATAAACAAATAAGCATAGTACTGTCCCAAATATCTCTTTCATTTTAAGTGGAAAAATGCAAAGACAAAATAAGGATAAAGTTGATTGAAAGAGACATGCTGTTATACATTTTTTATGACACATAAGAAATATATTTTCTTTTTATAATCGATGTTACTTTAAATTTAAGATTAGGTTAGAAATTGGATGAGAAAAGGAATTCTTTAAGTGATGAAATGATTTCTTACCCCTCAAATATCCTTGGAACTAATTGTAAAATTTTAGTCTTAGAGATTCAGCAAAACTTGATTAAATTCGATATGCTTGAGAAATAGCACAGTAAGATTTGACAGGCAGTGCACGGTGATATAAACATGAGCACATTCACCAGCGTCTTTCCTCACGGATAGGTAGGATGGGGGGAGTGTAAAAAGCATAATCGGGTATCTGGGGTACTTGGCAGCAGACAGAAATCAACGGAATTTTAGTGTGCGGAGGATAAAATTTACCTTGTGACGTAGGATCATGACTTTATAGACAAAATGAATAGAGAATATAACATCATGAAAAAACTAGCTGAAAAATAGTTTCATCTTCTATACTTACTTTATACATAGCAACAAATAAAACTATAGCAACACCTGCCTTCACCTGCTCTTTCTAATCACACATCTGGCAACATCAGGGCGGGGCAAGGAAGCTCCGGGATGTGGACTTTCCCCATTCTGTTGCTTACAATCTTATTATTCAAAGGGACTTGAGAAAGTCTGACATTTCTCAAATAGTTGCATATAAATGATATCAATTGACTAAGTGATGAAAGAGCTACGATAGACTTGACCTGGATTCTAATTTTGACTTCCAGATTATTTAGTAAGCGAGTTATTACTTTAATTTTTATGTAAGTCATGGGACAGTAATAACTATAATGGGATTTTAGATGAAGCATTACTGGCTACAGACAGTTGGAAAAATTATCTCTCAGGAAGCCTAACTCAATACCAGAAACATTTAGCAGATGAAATAAGTTCACAGTATAATTAGGCACTTTTAGTGTTTCTGTATTTACAAAGATTGAATATTATAGATAATTCCACTTTCCTCCAATAGAAAGCTTCATTTTTGTCAACAGTAGTAATCCACTGACTTTTTATTTATAGGCATTTAAAACTTCTCCTAACATGTATCCTTTAGGGTGGAGTATGAATCCTGTAGGAAATCCAGCTAAATCTCTGCTGATTTTTAGCGAGGGTGAAAACTACTCCTTACCTGATTCTAAAGTAGTAACAATCACTTCAGCACTGGACTTCCCGCCCATGTAGGCAGCGCTAATGTTTCCAGTAAATGCTGTGATGACCACAGAATACTTTGTGAATATGTTTAAATCTTTAACTTCTATGGTTTTATTTTCCTCATTCGACTTGAGGAAAGTAATATTAAATTCATCATTGTCCACCTATAGGAAAAAGTAAGTCACGATTAAGGAATCACCACTTGAGATCCAACTACCAAACATGACGTGCAAAGCTACACATGAGGTATACCCATACAGTTATCGAGCCAAGACGGATTTATTTTTATTTTACAATCAGATTGCCCTGGGAAATCAAAAGCACCAGTATAACAGTTTACTAATTAGTAGCTCTTTCAATAATTGAAAGTAAAAGAGAATACAAACGACCACCCATGATCAATCAACCCATCAAATGAAAAGCAAATATTATCTGTGCGGTCAGAGGAACTCTGCTTTCTACTTCAAAGTTTTACAGGAGAAAGTACCCAGGTTTTGGCTCCCAGCCATGCAGGTCCATAGCCCACACTGGACGCCTCATTTGACAAACCACTTATGCCTCTTACTTTCCATGTATGTGAAACTGGATGCCAACACCTATTTATTGTGTTTTATTGAGATTTAGAAAGAGCACGTCAGAAGTAGCTGGCACAGAGATTATGATTTTTTTCAACTGTTATGCATAAAAGGAAACACCCTCTGTAACATAATTCAGAAGATAGATAGATAGATAAACATCAATACACATGTATTTTATAACTGAAACACAATTTTCAAAATCATACGTATTTTTCTGAAATGCACTTTGACATTTGCTGTGCTTTTTTTTTTCTTTTGCAGTTTTTGGCCGGGCCAGGTTTGAACCTGCCACCTCCGGTATATGGGGCCTGCGTCCTACTCCTTTGAGCCACAGGCACTGCCCCACTGCTGTCCTTTTTTATCATATTCCAATTCATTTACAAGTTCTTGACATGGCTGCAGTTTGAAAAACTCTGACTTAGCACTCTGCATTGCACTGGGGAAGTACTCAACTGTGCAAGGCATAATTATTAAATGTGTCCAAATGAACATGCACAGGTCATTAAACGTAACTGTATTTGTTCAAACATTGTCTTACAGAGATTTTCACTCCAGACATTAAGCATAGCTGAAGTGTCTAGCGCTAAATGGAAGGGCCTTTCCTAAGATAACCATGAGAAATTTTAAAATCCCATCATACTTATTCCTTTTAGGCATCTGAATTGAAAATTTTAAAACCAGGTTTAAAACACAGCAAGTTCATTTTTAATTTGACCCTCCCTCATAACCTTGAAAGATCGTTTATTTTTAGTTCAATATGTTCTTTAAATGCTCTTCAATAAAAGGGTTTTTTTAATTAAAGATGTTGCTATGAGAAACAGAGCAGAAGGCTGATAAATAATAACCAGCATTGCAAACAATCAAGTTAATCGTTCCCACCTTAAAACAGAGCAGTGGCGGGAAATGCCCCCGCTTCTCTAAAGTGCCAAAACAATGAGCCAACAGGGGGATCGTACTGATCAGAAACACGTTCCATTAGTGGAAAGCATGTGTGTATTAAATTAATCGTCAATATTTCATCTCATAAGAGTAAGGCTTTTGAATTTTCCTTAAGACTAAGCTTATATTTATGTTGAATAGGTATGACCTAGAGCTGAGTAGAAGTTGACCCCAGCAGCAGAGTATGGGTCTCTTTCCCATCAGGGCCCCATCAAGGCTTCCCTTTGACTACTGTGTTGTGTTACGTGCCTCCATTCAAATCATCGTGTTACTACTACAGCTATTTGGATTCTGATTTTTGTAGAGTTGCGGTGTCTCCAGATTCTATAACTAGAATCTGAGATAAGACTTGAGTCCAAGCCTTTCAAGTGTCTGAAACTATACAGTGCCACAAGGTCACTGGACTTGATCTTATAAATTAAACTATTTATCAATTGTAATATTCAAATGCCTTCCCTTAAAATGAGATAAAAAATGATGTAATAAAAATATGGCATGGCATGCGTGTGTTATAGCCTATCTTTAAAAATATTTAACTAAATTCAAAAAGAATTCTGGGTTATAAACTCACCAAGGACAGAAGTTCACGGTCCAACCTTATTAAACCTTCTCCACCACTGTGGTCATTAACCTTTACTTACCTGCTTGACCAAGACTGAAACTTCAGTCCTTTTTGACCCCTACTCTTTTTTTTCAATCAATTCAAAGTCTGTACGCTCATATTATATTCGATCATTTTTGAAGTGTGACATGATGAATAATAACAGTAATTAGATTCTGTTTCCTCTTCCTATGCCACTTGTACCCTTTCCCATCCGGGGCACTTCTATTCATTTGTCCAAGAACAAATCTAATCTGCTCTGAGCAGCCTCCTCTAACTTCCATGTCTCCTCTAGCAGGAACTTTATTTTGCTACCTTATATCCCCCACCCCCCAAAACATCCTACCTCACACTCTACGGAGCTGTTTATATTCCAGGGTCTCCCCCTAGAGTGTGAGCTACTGGAGAGCAGAACTTCATGTTTTTCATCCTGGCCTTCAGGAACAGAAGCTATTTCCTAACTATTTGTTGAATAAAAGAATAAAGAGAATAATGAAAGTGACTACAAAGTGCCTTAATTTCCAGCAGAATCATCCACGCTGGTATTTGTGCCTCTACATCTTTATTTAATATCGTCAATTTTTGTTTTAAGTTTTGCAAGGAGAAGTATCACGCTTTGTGGCTAACGTTTTTCAGGGGACAGGCTGCACCTTAAATCTTGAGTGCAATGATTTGCGTTCTTCCTTAGTCTGGAGGAAGGACTCGAGTAGTGGTAATTATGTATTTATGAGATATGCTGCAGATAAGCTCTCTCCAATTCATTCCCTTATACATATCCAACACCTAGCACAGTTCTGGCACTTTGGGTGTATGTAAAAGTGTGTATTCAATGAAGGAAGAAAAGGAAAAATATTTCTACCTAGTTCCAAGACTCCTAGAAAAACTGTGAAGTCCTAGAATCTTTTCGAAGCTGTTCTTGCTACTGTTGATCCATCGGCATTCTGGGGAGGTTAGGTTTAAATCGCTAGTTTTATTTGCTATTTTATGGCTCTTTCTTTCCCTGGTCACGCCATTGTCTGTGGTTTTAGTCACGTATTAACTTAGTGAGAAGTTCTTTTCTCAGGACCTCAGGGCCCCTTTACGCAAAATGAAGGCAACACTGTTTACATCAAAATATTGCTACATCAGATGTAATAATTCAAATCAAGAGGTGAACTCAAAACTGGAATAAATTAATTGAAATATTAGTTATCTTCTCATCCTTTTTCTTTCTCTGATTCATTTTAAAACTCGGCAAGACAACTACAAGAATGAGATTACAAAATTGCTCCCAAAACGTTTTATTTTTTTTTTCCTTTCAGCCTAATCCAATTCTAAAGGAGCTCTGCTTTCTGTTAATAAACTGCCTTTCATTTGCTAGACCACCGCTTTGGCATTCTTTAAATTTGTTTCTAATGTATATTCCCAGAGCTTTCGTCATTCCCATTAACTGTGGTTGGATAATTGTGTGTTAAAATCTTCGCAAATAGGTTCAAAACATAGACTGCAGGCTGGGATAACAGATGTACCAATAATCTCTTAAAATTTATTTTACTGATGACAGGTCTGTTGGGATGTAAGTATCTTCTAAGAAATTCTCTAAAGATATAATACAATTATAAAAATTATGGAAGAGACAGAGGCAGAACAAATGGGAAAGAAGTATTCATCCTAAGTTACACAATTTAATATATTAGATGCCGCTAGAAGAGAGTGGTAATTAAGCCCAGAAAAGTCTAAGCAGGGAGCAGAATAAACATTACCAATCCTTATCCTAGCCAGTAAGTCTGCACCACCTGCATTGCTAGGGTTTAGCTTTAGTGCCTGGTTTCCTTCTGAATGGCTGTCTACCTCTATTCAGTGGCCTCTTATTCACGGTCTCTTCAGTGGCCTCTTATTTAAATGTTTGCGTTCTCTGGAACCCCAGGATATATCGTTGTAGTGAATCTCATCTACTCCTATAATTCTGTCTCTGATAAATACACTGTTCAAATTGCAAATGCAGACTTTCTCGCCTGATCTCTCGCCAGATCCATATTCAACACTATGATGGGGTGTCTTCGTCTGGAGGATCCCCAGGCACCTCCCACCCAGGGTGTCTAGTACCAAACTCATTCACTTCCTCTACAGATCTGCCCCTCATACTTTAACAGGTCCTATCTCTTACCGGTATCCTTGACTCCTCCTCTCACTCACCGTCATGAGCTGGTTGATTTTCCAATAAATCCTGTAGATTTAAATTATTTTTCACTTTGTTCTCTTGCTACATTTCCTCTGTTCTTTATCTTTCCTTGCCCAGTTACTCACAGTTTTCTGTCACCTTGCTGGATTTTGCTCCCACACCGCTCTCAAACTATGCTGTATGATGCAACACCAATCCCGTGCAATGGAAATCTATGCCACAAGGTGGCACTTCACTAACCTTAACATAAAGTCCATCTCAGCCGTGTGTTACAGAGCTGGCCTCCCAATCTAGCCTCATCTGTCAGCACTCTTCCTGTTGACTGCTATGCCCTGGCATTGCTGAAGTACATGATTCTTTTTATGAATGCAGTTTACTATTTTCTACCTCTATTCCCATTTTCCTACCATGTTCTGCTTTAATTTTTTCAGGACTTAGTGTTGTCGTTAGGGTCTCACAGAGAAGTGGTGTCACGGAGCATAAACCTACAAATTGAAATTGCATATTTAAACAAAGGGGTTCACAGCTCTCTCAGGCATGTGACAAGTTTCTTTCTTTTCTCCTGGCTTATATAGTCAGTGGTGCACATGCGCACTGTACCTCAGTAATATTCATTACAATCTCTCCGCACATGTGCACTGTACATCAATGACTTCATTAATATTCATTACAACCCATAATCCATCTCATGAATAAACTTCTTGTGACTATCCCATGAGCAGATCCTCTCTAGTTATCTGGATTAACTGATACCACTTTAGCTAAAATAACTCTTTCAACATAATCTTTTTAACATAACTTAATGGAGAACGTGTTGTTAGCCATTACTTCTTTTGTTCTGATCTAATGAAGCCTGAGGCTCTAGAGGAGGAAGGTAGATTGAATCCCTGTCCTTATTGGCCTCACCGTTTGGAGGCAGTTACTTCAATTTTAAGCAAGGCATAATTAAGAAATTTCTAAGACATACAGAAAATTTGTTTGCAAGCCTCCGCTCCCATGTGGGCCTTAAGTCGGGGCGGGGGGGTTTATGCCCACAACCAACCAGGCCAACCTTGGGTCAGGGGATTTTTACACCCACAACCAACCAGACCATCTGGGATTCTGCCTCAGTTTCTCACAAGTAAGCCTGCACAAAATCTTTTCACTGCTCTCTCTCAAACAGCTTTTTTGGCCAGAGGCATATCTATAGGCCTTTTGCCTATAACTTATCTCTGCCATTTTCCTATTGGGGAGATATTGTCTTTATTGCTTTTTCTCTTTTCACTTCGTATTATGGGTCCCTTTCCACCGTATTTTAAACCAGATATGTGTGTTAATATCAATATAACCACCTGTGTGTGTGTGTGCATGTAAAATCTACACCCTGAGAACACACACAATGATAACATGTTACTAACACTTTACATTCATTGGGCACTTACTACATGCCAGGCAATGTTCTAAATTCTTTATGCATATTAGCGAATTTACTCCTCACAGGATCTTTGTCCTCTGTACACTATTAATCATTATTTTACACACACGGACACTGAATCACAAATAAGTGTAGGTTGCCTAACGCCTAACAGGGCAAAGTTCAAATTTGAATAATCTGGTTCTAACCCATATTCTTAACCATGTTCTATATTAAATTCTATAACAGGTAAGATACACCTTACCGATTTGACATCGATCAGATAAAACGTGGGTCCGGTAATGACAGCAGGTTCACTCCAGCTGATATTGATGCTGAAAGGTGAGGTTGCTACTACATAGACATTTTCAGGAGGGCCATCCGGAGCTAGGACAACAGAAAACCAATTGTTCTGCCACATTAGAGTAAGTCTCGGCTGCAGTACAATAGCAGAAATACCAGGAAAAGTGGATAGTCACGATCAATCATAGTGAATTAATTTTACATTAATTTATACTTCACAACATGCGCAAGGCATTTCAAATCAAAAGATTTAATTCCTAAAACCAGTTAGTATACATAAAGCATTTCCACATGCAAATTAGTTAAAATAATAATAAATGGTTTTAACACTTGAAGTAATGTTTTGAAAAGAAAGCCATAGAGTTGGGAAAATAAATCTTTTATTTTATATTTTTATTTTCACATAGATAACCTAAAAGTTTGCAGAAAAGTATCTGACTGCAAAAAGAGAGAGAAAAGAGCTCAGTTAAAGAATTAAAACTGGTATAATGGAGTTATAGTTAAAATATATTGCTTTATAAATGTACATTGGGTTGGTTTTGTTGTTTTTAATGAAGGGGAAGAATAGAAAATAGGCCATCCAGTTCCTCTAATCTATTATTAAAATTATTAAAAATGTGTGATCTTCACATATTTTCTCATTCATTATGATTTCAAACAAATTCTTTAATTTGTCCAACTTTCCTAATTTGTTTTTCAAGAGTGCAAGACGAGATACTATTTTAAGAAATCTTCCTTTGAAAACATGGATGTTGGCTCGGCGCCTGTGGCTCAACCGGCTAAGGCGCCAGCCACGTACACCTAAGGTGGCGGGTTCGAATCCCCAGCCTGGACCCGCCAAACAACAATGACGACTGCAATCAAAAAATAGCCGGGCGTTGTGGCGGGCGCCTGTGGTCCCAGCTACTTGGGAGGCGGAGGCAGGAGACTCGCTTGAGCCCAGGAGTTGGAGGTTGCTATGAGCATGATGCCATGGCACTCTACCCAGGGGGATAGCTTGAGGCTCCGTCTCAAAAAAAAAAAAAAAAAAAAAGAAAAAAAAAAAAAACATGGATGTTAAGTTTTCAACTGGTGAAACCACTAAGAACTAGAAGGGTCAGTAGGATGTTGAGAAGGATTGAGACCCATTTAATCCACATCGACGTCAATCTAGGAACACTGTTCACACAGCGCTGCCCTCCCAGGGCATGGAGCCAAATCAGGTGATATTAAATTGAGAGAGACAAGAAATTCCCCCAATTTTTGATATTTAAATCCATATGAGCGAAGATTACTGAACATGTACTATCCCATCGCTCCTAAGAAAATGTAAAGAGGAACATAAAATATTCCCTTTGCCAAATAATTTATAATCCCATTGGAGCAACAAGTTATGTGATCTTAGTCAAACACAAACTGTCTGCAGCTCAGACTCTCTATCAGATGAATATTTTATAGTCCTTCAAAATATGTGGAATAGGCCACTTTGATATTTGGCACATTGATGTCAATTAATATCATATAGAGATGGCTGAGTAAAGGTAAGGATTAACTGTAAATAAATAGTATTCTCCTGTGAGAGGGCGAAGTGATGAATGTGATGGGCAGGTGAGGGGAGGATGCACAGACAAGGCGGGACTCTAGCAGCAGGCTCCGCAGGATGAGGAGGATTTCAACAAGCAGATGAGCAGGCTGAGGGGCATTTCTACGCTAAGCCACAAACACGCCAATAACAGGTCCACAGCCAGCCAGAATTGTATGACCTCAGAACCGCTTTCCTTGGTACTCTTACGTGTATTATTTTGTATAGTCAAAAACAAGACTCTCAAAAATGGTCCATAAACTTCACCAGACTGTCAAACGGGACCTGCGGTACAAATAAGGTTCAGAATACTCGAAGTCCGGGAACAAAAATGTCATTGGACCAGTGTTCAAGATGTCATAGACCACAACCCTCAAGTAGGAATTTGGGACCTGAGCTAGGAACCACTTGTTATGTTGAAGAAGTTGGACTTCATTCTTTAAGTGATAGGACGCCATTGAGAGGTTTGAGAAAGTATTCTTCTAATGATTTAGGAAAACAACTCAGATAGCTATGAGAAAGACAAGCGCTGTAAAGAACACGGAGTCTTTTAGGCTAGTTCCTAAAACACAAGGTGAGATGTGAAACTCTAAATTAGTGCCCTAGGTATAGATAGGAGGAGAACATAGAAAATTTAATAAAAATACCTCTGGGGAGGATTAGAGGTGGTTCAACCTGAGATAGAAGAAGTAGTGAAAGCTAATTCACTTGTTAATACCCACAGAACGCTGGCAGTTCCCAGCAGCACACGGGGGATAGATTCAGGTTTGGGTGAGTAAGGCTCTGTGTGAGAGGAAAGGATAAATACGGATTTGCACCCGCTGAGTATGAGAACCTCAAGTTTACTGTCTACCCCGCAGTTGGAAACATGAGCCTAGAACGAGGAAGACTTAAGCAGGATAGAAACGTTTTGTTGATTTAGAAAAAAAATTTTCAGATAGTTCCTTACAAATTAGTACTATGCATAAATAAGGCCAGTGTATCCGGTTTAAGTGAACCACATGCTCTGAAGAGAACCAAAAGGTTTATTTTAATATGGATTAGTATTAAAGATGTCACTATGATTTGAATATGTCTCCTCCCAAATTCAAGTGATGAAACTTGGTGGTCAGTGTGATGGCATAAAGAGGTGGGGTCTTTAGGAGGTGGTTAGTTCATGAGGACGGCTGCTCTGACAATAGGAATAGGATCCTTATAAAAAGGACTTCCCCTGCCCGTCTGCGTTTTGCCATGTAGGACAGGGCATCCTTCCCTTTCCTCAACAGACAACTGAACCTGCCTGGACCTTCATCTTGAACCTTTCAGCCTGCGGAACTGTGAGAAAACAAATCTCTGCTCTTACAGATTACCCTGTCTCTGATATTTTGTTGTCACAGGACAAAACAGATCAAAACAGAGGTTAATAGTAGTGATAGTCTCAAATTATGAATGAATGATTCATATTCAGAGTTTATTTCTTAGGACTATATTAAGAGTGGAATTTAGTTACACAAAATACTATTTTAATAATAGCAGTGACATATTTTAATAATAGTAGTCGAATGTAACTACAGAGAAATCTAGCAAACATATATAAGGTAGTTTTTGTGGGAAAATACCTTTGGGGTGACATAGATATACTTATACTGTACTTCTCTGAAAATTGCAAAATAATCCAAACATTGACATGCCTGGCTCAAGGATGCAATCCATACTGCCCAGAAAAGCATCCAAGAGAAACTGGAAAGAGGGGTAATCCAGGGTCAGAGCTCTGACAAGCTGAGAGGTGCTAGTCATGATGACAGAGTTGAGGACACAGTTTCTCCAACAACCAAGGTAGAGGATATCGACTTTAGATCGACATATGCCCACCCCGCATGACCTGACATTTTTGATCTTATTACTTCTATGTTTACGACCCGAGGAAAACTGCCTTAAATTGTAGTCCAGTTTATTTAGGTAATTACGCACAAGAGATGGGAGTGATGAGTGGTCTCCTGGCACCAGCATAATGAATTACTTTGGATGATCTCACAGAATAATGCACTGGGGTTTCAAAAGCAGCAATCCTCTCCTTACCTTTTCCAAGTGGATATTCCTTAGAGACTTATGCCCGCTGTTTTGTAAATAAACTGCAGCTCTGAATCTCCTTATTCATGACGTTAAGTTAGGAATGAGTGGACTTCAGGACCAGCCACACCATTACTGAAACTAGTACATACTCACCTCATGGAGAAATCTGCTTGGAAAAATACAAGATGTTTTGTGAGTTTCAATGCCCTGCCCTCTGCCTCTGACTCTATAAAAAGGGACGAGATAAGAGGTACGCACAGACTTATTCAGGCCCCTTGATTATTAATGCTTTTATAAGTCCTGATTTTTAGCTATGCAAGAACCAGCATGGAGAAGAAAAATTTTCTGACAGGCCGCGTATTTCAATTGGTATAAAACAGGAAAACATTTTAGTGTCCCATTGTATTTCTTTATACTCAAGTGCTTAGTTGGCTGTTAGATTAAATTTATGCATTTATTGAACCAAAAAATATTTATTAAGCATCTGCTATGTGCCAAGCACTGGAAAGACAAAATGCTTGTACAAACGATCAAGGTAGATTTGGATCTATCCATAAACTTCCAGTTATTAACCCTTTTCTTCACTGACCCACTGTTTATTGGACACCTACAACATGCCAGGTGTTTACCTGCTGGAAATAGAGAAGTAAAGAGACAAAGAGCAGGGAACTTCTACTTTAACAATGGAGACAAATACTATATCAGCGTATTAGAAAAAATTAGATAAATTGACATGTAACATACAAATAAATTATATACCATATTAGGAAGTAATGAAAAAAAAATGAAGCAGGATAATGGGAATGGGGGTATTTTGAGGGGTTACTATTTTAAATATGACGGTCAGGATATGCCTCACCAAGCAGGTAACAACTAAGAAAAATGTAAGGGATGTTGGGGAGGATGGAATGTTTGGAGGAAGATTGCCACAGAAAGGAGCATGGCCAGTGCAAAGGCCCTGAGGCAGGATTAGGCCTGGTGTCTTCTGAGAATAACAATGATTCCAAAGGGAGGCTGAAGTCATGTGAGCTGGAATGACATTCTAAAAGGATATAGGAGCCAGATTGCACAGAGCCTTGAAAGTAGCTAAAAGTCTTGTAAGAATGAAAGTCTTGAAACAGGTAAAGTCTTCGTAAGAATGGCCACCATGGACAAAAATTCATGTCATAGTTTATTATCATGAACTAGAGGAGACCACAATAGATTGTGGTGTTTGGCATCTAATTCATACCAGAAAAAATGGGTTAAAAATTAATTAAGTCAGAAAAGGAAAGATCATCTCCAGAATGTATTGGACTCAAGCCCTTTATAAAGCACATTAACTCAGTGCTGTTAGGACTACACTGTCAGACAGACTCACTCCAGCAGACAAGCAGGGTGGCGTATTAGTGTTACTCAGACTTCATGAACAACTTGTTGAGAATTTTCTGTGACTAGGAAAGTTGGTGAGATTTTTCTATGACTATATTGA